TCAAATTCGTCCTACAGGTGGCGTGTTTTAGGAAGCCGGTGGATTAGAAAATACATTTTGATTATGTATGCACTGTGGACATAAATTTTGAGTTTATTTTGAAGTAGAAGAGGCGAAAAAGCTGGACGGAAATTTGGTCAAAAAAGACGGACATGTTCCGCTTTATCTTGACATCTGGTCGCCCTATTTTAACTTTAGGTGAATACAAAATGTTATTTTGTTATTTTAGGAAATTTAAAATTAAACCTTGAATCTCAATAAAATTACTGTTTGATCCATGCATCAATTTTATTAGCTAGGTACTATAATTGTTGCGTAAACCTACTTATATATTAAAATAAATATTTAATTGCACGCTTTAGTAGGTAATGTTAAACGTTAATAATACTATTTTAAATATATTTAACATGCAATTTTGTTAAAATGTAAATAAATTAACATTTCTGGTTTAATTACGGATTTTATTACTTAGCTTTATGAATTTTATATACAAGCACATACAATTTTAATGCTGTAGACTTATTAACAGTTGTAGATAACGATATAACGACGCTATCTTTTATTTCAATAATGCAAGAAGAGTAAAATTACATTCAATTATTAAAGTTATTGCAAAAAAAAATGAAACAATGTATACCTACTCTATTTAAACTGGAAAAATATTTCAAACTATTACTGTTTTCACAAAAAATATATTATTTTATTTATTTATACATTGTTCAACAGGTTAAACCCAATTACAGAACATGAGTACATTTGGAAGAAAACATGTTTAACAAAAAGCATATAGATAAACAGGAGAAAACTTCAGAACGTTTGTCCGAGGAGTTGCAATGTAAAATGATTCGGTGTTTCGAGAGGTTGCGCGGGGATTCTAAAATTAAGAATATGTAAAAGAGCTTCACAATTTATTTTAAAATTAACAACTTTGTAGAGGCTAATTATGGAGAAGTACTTCCGTCTTACGTCGAGACTTGTCAATCTGTGTCTAGTCAGTGAAGCATTTTGAGTAATACCAATCGGTGGATAAATTTGCGAAAACTTAAATATTTAAGGAAACGCCTTTGTATGGACTCTATCCGACAAATGTGTATTTGATAATAAGGATCCCAAATAATAAACGAGGCATATTCGAGTTTAGATCGAACAAATGAGAAATACGATGATTTAATAGTATGTGTTTTTAAAATCACGACCCACTCGCACTATGAATCCATACATACGGATTGCTGCTGTTGAAATGTTATCTATGTGATATTTGAACGACAATACTGGGTCAAATGTAACCCCTAAATCCATAAAATTGTTGGGTCTATAAAACAAACGCCCATTAAGGACATAATCGAATATAATTGGATGCGCTTTTAATGTGTATGACATTGCGTTACATTTGACGGGATTTAGTGTAAGGCCATTTTTGTTGCACCATTCAACAACTTTGTTCAAATTTTCCGACAACCGTTTACAATCAGAAACATTTTCAATAGCTGAATATATTTTTAAGTTATCAGCATACAGCAAATAAACAACATTTATAGCGTCACCAACGTCGTTGATAAAAATATTAAATAACAGCGTACCCAAATTTGAACCTTGCGGTATACCAGAGGTGGCGCAATTTTTGTTAGTCTTGAATCCATTTAATTGAACATACTGTGTTCTTTCAGAGAGATACGATTGAAAAAGTGTGATCAAACTATTAGAAAGACCAAATAAGCAGAGTTTCTCTATCATAATATGATCAAGTCTATAAAATGCTTTTGTCATATCCGTATAGATGACGTCAGTTTGGAGCCGACTATCAATATTTTCAGCTATTTGCTGTGTAATCACAAAAAGATTTGTTACTGTGGAACGCCCTTTAACAAAACCATGTTGCTGAGCTGAGTTGCGTTACAAACATGTTGATAAATACTACGTTCCAGTAATATTTCGAGAATTTTGCAGAAATTGCAAAAGATAGAAATCGGCCTATAATTTTTGATATCAGTTCGTTCAGACTTTAGAACATTTCCACATCAAACGAATTGTATTAGATTTAAGGCAGATATTTATCAAAATAGTTAGAAGGAGAGCTAATACTGCTAAACAGTCTTTTAAAATGAACGCAGGAATATGATCCGGTCCTGTGGTACGTTTAGGTTTAATATTTTTTAAAGCATCCTGGACCTGGGTTTCAGATAAATGAGTTATATGAAGCTGAGATGACTGAACGTCCTTTAATGATATGTTTGAACCCTTGGAAGCGACATAAAACTCATGGTGCCTGCAACTTTACCTTGGCATTGTTTATATAACATATGCCCAAAATTTATTTGAATTTGCTGTGATTTCATATTCAAGATTTGCTATGTAATTTTTATAAGCTTCAGATACACAAGTTTTAATTTCAGCTCTGATGAGCTTAAATTCTTGAAGAGCTTGAATATTATTCTTATTCTGATATAAGCGATGAAGTTTAGACTTTTTCCGAAGTTTCTTAATAATAGAACCATTAAACTAAGGATGGTATTTTCTCTTATTACTTACAGTGTATTTAGGTATACACTGATCTAATATATTGTATAATTTGCCATAAAAGTACGTGAAAACCTCCAAAAAATCCCAATTCACAGTAGATAACATTTTATACAAAAGCGGAAAATTTGCTTTACGAAAATTGTAGCAATTCGTGTAAGAGGATTCAAGATTTTTCTTATATTGCTTTTTTTCGTTTATTCTACAAGTAATTTCTAAAGCCGGATGCTATTTATCTTCTTCTACTAAAGGTTCTAAAGATTTTTCAACCAAACATATTGGGATAACTCAATAAGAAAGTTAAATTAAACTTATCTGATTTATTGGTATTATTCTTACAATAAGAGATATTCATTCAAAAATGCTGATAATACACTCATTTCTTATCGTCACCTGTATATTTATTATTATATTCTCAAGATTTTGATGCAGAAAGCGCCAATGTAGGTCCTTCTAGTTTTTAATGCCTATTAAAACATACCTCATTTATATAGAATATTTTAGAAACCCGCAATTTTAGGAAGTACAGGAATGTTTTCAGTACATTAGGTTAAATTCTACATAGTTAGGTGTTCAGCACTTAGCAGTTGTGTATATCTATTTGTATAACTAATTTAAATGAGTTTACTGCCACTTATGGTATATTTTGGTAATAAAATGGCCTAATTTCATCAAGAGGCACAAGTGCGTCCCAAAAATGTGAATTTTTTTTTGAAAAATATCTGATCGACTCACAAGTGCGGTTAAGATGTCTTAATTTTTTTAAACATATCCGGTCGACGCACATTCACGTCTTATAAAGCAGTAATTCAAATTGTCCACTTTTTGATAAAAAATAAATTTATCTGCATAGACCAATACTATTTCAGTGAAGTTGTGTATATCTATATATTTTGTAATTATAGTCTAACTAATTTTAATGTATTTAAGTAGTATGGTCCTATTTTTGTAATAAAATTTGGTTAATTTCATCAAAACGAACAAGTGCGTCTTTCATGTAGGTATTTACTGAGATTTATAAAAAATAACTCTTGCACAGGCCAATACTATTTTATACATACTACAGTGAAAGGGTAATTATTATTTTTTTTTTAATTGGTCTCTTTAGCTTCGACAACTTAAGTCATTAGTCTAATTATTCTTATTTATACAAAAAAATAAATCTCTCTTTTATCATCCAGAATACAGAATATTTTGGTCCTGTAGACACACCACTCCTTTATATTTTGTTGCATAGTATCTTTATTTCGTTATATATTTTAGTATTTTTTATTTTTTTTTTTACTTTCTCGCCACTAAGGATATTATAGTAATCATGATTTTGTTTTGGCACCCTTTGACCATTTTCGCGATGATGTATGTGTGTCTGTATTCTCGATAAATCAAAAACGGAAAAAACACTAAATTTTGATTTAGTCAGGTAGATTCTCGAAAAATGAATCTAAACAGGTTACCAAAAAGAAGAGGAACTGATAGGCCAACGTAAATAAAAATGCACCTAATGCAAAATTTCACTAACTTTGTTGTGTTACAATGAAATAATAAATTGAAACACAGAAGCATTTGACTTTTAAATCGGCAATAAGCTAGTATAATAGGTGTAGTAACAGACATTAACTGGCATTGAAGGATACAGTTTATAATAAGAGTGTTTAAGATCATTTTACAAAAGATTTAAATCCTATTTTTAAATGAAAAATAAGAGATGCTTTTCAGAAAGGTTGAAATTTAAATCCCACTGCATATTGTGACAGCTCTGTTTATAGTAGATATTGCCCTTCATAATGGGAAAATTTCTGGGGACATAATCTACTGCATTCAGGTGCTTAAATATTCAGTGCAATAGGTCCTAACACAGGATAGAATGTCCAGCCTTAAAATGATAAATTGTGGGCCATTGTCTTCTGTAATTCAGAATGCATTTTTCTAGGGATGTCATGCTATAGGAGGTAATGCCAATGCTCCACCTGGGAGGTATTTTATAGATGGTCGTTTTTCTACTTTAAAGGTTATAAATAGTTATATTATAAACACTTTTTGATTAGATGGGCCGTACTCAATACCTTTGATAACCTTACAGGAAAGCTATGTTTGGACACATCATATTTTAAATTAACATTGCGGACTAGGGATGCGAAAATCGGAAAGAAAATATTGGTTTTTCTAAACATAGATGTTTTTCAAAAACAGTTCATTAAAGAGCAAAAAAGGTCACCAGATCATCAATTAAAACGTAAAGCTTAACAAACATCGAAAAAAATCATCGATGTCAAATACAAACATCTAATAAAAAAACATTGATGTAAACATCGAAAATAGAAACCAAAAAAATCGATGTTTTTTAAACATCGATACATCGTGTGCATCCCTATTATGGACAAATGTAATACCTAGGTAGGCAGGTACCTATGTATTATAGGACAAATAAAGGTATTTTCCATTTTTATTAAAGATTCTCACTGACATTCAATATTTATAAATACCTGTCTAAATTTCCCCTTCTTCATCCTATGGTGCAAAATAGCAGCAGCAATTTCTTGGGTAATTCCGTTAACAGTTTGCAGTTCGAAAACACTAGCTTTATTTATATTTACAAGCTTGTTAGATTTTAAAGTCAATCTAGATTCAGAACTTCTTAGACTATCATAACTTTGAGCTCTAGATGAAGTGTAACTTTGACTTCTTCTTGAACTCACACATATTTCTGGTCTTAATTTTTGCAATTTATCAGCACCAATGCCTCGAACTACAGCTAAATCTTCCACTTTGCGGAATCTACCTATCGCTTTCCTGTGTTCAACTATACTTTTTGCTATTTCTCTATTTACCCCATCTAAGGTCATCAATTCCTCTTCACTGGCTATATTTATATTTAATCGATCTATTCTTTCGTCGTTTTCATTTATCGTGAACGTATGACTCAATGTCCTGTTCTTAGAGGATGACCTTTTAGTGAAAGACCGCAGGGACTTCCTCCTACCCTTTGGTAAGCTCGAATTCTGACCCATACTTTGAACCATTAGCACAAAAATGCAAGTTCAACTATCTACAATGAATGTCAACGCATTACTAAACCACTTCGATAATAAAATTATCTCATTGTTAAGTAGAATCGGATAAAAATCTAAATTCAAAGTACAAGGTGCAATATTAAAATTTCAATGTGACAAACAAATTAGGTACTAGGTACATCTATTTGGTCAACTGACCTTACAATATAACTTTCGAATGTCAACATTATCTATAAATAAATGCTATACGTCGCGTATATAAATAATTTTAGAAATTTCATACTAAATAGTTTTAATTTATCAAAAAAGCAAACATTGACAGTTATCACGTTTAATAAACGTCAAAATCATATGTTTACATATCAACAAAAAAATTTCTTCTCCCAATGTATGACTCATGGTCTTCGACTGATTAAAATAGTCAATTCCTCTTTTTCTATAATATACGGTCATGGGGTATATAGCTAAACAGACAACATAATTATGGCTATGGCCTCTTGCTATGCATTCATATATCACTGTGTTTTAACGAGCCCCATGTGCGCACAGGTGGGCATTTTCCAAATTACGTTCTGGATCACGTGCCCACCCATGGGCATTCTACACCTTTAAAGTCCGGTTCCGTGTGCTCACTTTTTGTCAGCGAATTGTGTGGACCCAGGGGATAACAGAACCGTACTTGGAGCGAGAAGAATCGAGAAATTATTTATAATTTTTGAGTCGTGAACCCATTTTAAATTAAAAAAAGCAATAAAAGTTTGGTCCCAAGGATTGAACAGCTGCTCTCAGCGTGGGGCATGGAGGAAGGAAGGCGTGGGGTTTAACATGTTTGGGGGGGGGGGGGGTTAACACAATGGGCAGAAGTAGGGTTGCCAGATTTACGAAAGTGAAAAGCGTGATGACAGAGCATCAGGTTCAAATACCAACTGTGAATACCAAGCACATTTTTATATGATCAGGTCCATTCTTTTCTTTCTAAAAAAACAACGTCGTCACCTTATATTTTTTTATAAATCCGGTTCGTCCTTTTTATTTACGGCATTGAATATTAAAAAGCGTGGTATTTGCATAAAAAGAGGCATTTTTGTCATATGCGGGACATTTTCGTACTGTGGTGTTGCGCGTACAAGCAAGTCAAAAAACGTGGCAAATACGCCTAAAGTGTGACGTCTGGCAACTCTAGCAGAAAGTGTCCTGATAATTTTAAAATGGAGCGTGAGTCGATCAGATTGGGCTATTTATTACTAGTTTGTTTGTACTGATGAGTATGTAGTGCCAGAAACTGATACGATTTTTATAGCTCAATTTGTGGTTTCATAAGAAATTAAATACTTGTAAACAACTATTTTTATTGCCTTCACTTTCACATAAGCTATAGCACCATTATATAATATATTATATAAATAAATAACAAAATCTTAACAATTAAAGAACACAAATTTCCAATAGAACACAATTTTTAAATACAGTTTTGAAATAAATAAATTATCTCTAAATATTCCCTTCAATTATTGTATCACTAAGTTTCTGCCAAAAAATGACGATACAAATTTAAAGATTTTAATAATTATAACGATTGAGTTTAAAAAACTCTTGTGTTAAATAAATTACATAACGTTAGTACATCTAAAATTGATATAATTTGATTTGGAATGTTTTTGACTCAGCTCAATGAACTATCTTCATTTAAACTGTCTTCAATTTCGGCGAACGTTTGTCCGACATTTTCTTCAGAATATCTACAATCATCAGAACCGCAATGGCAAGTAAACGACTTGTATTTCGCTATCCAAAACTTGGGCCCATAATCAAAACTAAAATCGAAAATCGTGTATTATACAGTAAAAACGTTTCAAGTAAATTTACATACCAAATTTCACCGCCTATGGGAATGTCTTTCAGAGCAAAGAAGGCTATTCTGGGAAATCTCACATCTTGGTGATCTATGAAAACTTTTATAGGGTGCAAATTGGGATCGCAGCTATGATTGATGAATCTCGTCAGATTTCCGTAATATTGTGCGTCAACACAAAAACTCTCAGTCTCCTAAAAAGTAATTAAAAAAGTGAGTCAAAAAAATCATCAACCGAAACTGAAATTCGACCCATATAGTTATCAAAATAACATAATGATGACAGCTGTTAAAATATGACACCATAGTGACAGATGTCGACCTCTGATACAAATTTATCCCAATAAAATTAATGTTAAAACGAGTTTTCACCTTGCTGCCGAGATCGAATAAAAAACTGTCGTCGTCTCTACGATCTGCATCCGTGTCAGTCAAAATCTCTCCTACGTATTCGCACACAAAAGAACCTTTAGGTATGCATTTGAGCGTCCGTACGCTCCAGCCTTTTCTTTCAGTCTTGTACACTTCGAATCTCTGCTGCGTCCCTCTTTGTACCACCCTATTTCGACACGTGATTGCGTTGCAGGCACACGTGTCCGAACATTCGAAGATTATCGGCGCATCTAAACAAAAAAGGAATGAAACATAATCTAGTCGGTGACTTCAATGAGTAGTATTTTCATTGTAAGTCTTAAGTACAGTCATGATCTGTCTTATTTAAGGCCACAGTTACAATTCAGGACAGGTAGCATAAAGGCACGGAAATAGCTAACCAATCAGACAATTTATTATAACCTAAATGGAGGACTTGTATGTAAATTAATTTTAATTGTGGTCCGCAGTATAGATAATATTACTACATTCCTTACCTAAAAAATCGAAATTGAATGCAAGCTTGCCATCTTCGTCGTACCAACATTTTACCGACAATCTACCGCAGAGACAATCGTCCCCGACGCATCGTTCTTCGCATGCGCAAGTTTGTAAATCGCTCGGTTTGGTTGTTATGCTAAAACCTTCTGAAACCATGAAGGATTTAGTGATGTAAATGTAGTCTTTGGGCTCGAGATCGTCGTCCACCGCGTTTGTACATTGTACCGGGTTCGGTTCTCTACCTTTTGATATATCGCTAAAAAAAAATTTTGTTCGGTTTTCTACCTTTTGATATATCGCTAATAAAAATGTTTCAACGTTAATTTAGAAAATTTGTAGTAACCAGCTGAAAAACTCATTTTCGCGCTAATAGCATGTGACGTTCTACGACGTATTCAACTGTGACTGGTAAATGAGAAGAGTGGAAAGGTGAATGCATGCACAGTGTCTAATTTTTAATCTGCAGTTTGTATAATCTAAGGCTATGTTATAAAACAATCTGTAAATTTCGATATAATAATCACAAACTCACTCTGACAAAATAATCCTATACTGTCTGGATTCGGTGTCTAACAACGACTGCAGTCTCATATTTAAAGCTATAGGATTGTAGGACAATCCATCTTCAGGTACACAATTTAGGGCCGTCTCGTTGTTCTTGTTCACTAAAAAAACATCGGCCCTTCTAGCCAGTAACACTATCACGCAATTGTATCTGTCCTCCCTTGCCGCTATGTGTCTAAAAGTAATTATGAAATCGTCAAGATATTAATAAACTAAAATTTGATCAAATCCATATTAGCGACGGCCTTGAGATGCGCATTCATAATAAATGTCTTAACGTAAAGATTGAATGTGTACATAATTATTATCTATATATGAGGGAAACTGATTCGCACAGCGCACAGTCGAAAACGTATTTACCTGCACATCTCGCGGCTAAGTTAAATTTGACTAAACTGTAGGTACATTTACCATTTACATTTGTAAGTTTAATGTCTACTTACAAAGGTGTTTCTCCGTGCGCATTGACAGTATTGACGTTGCAACCTCTATTGACCAACATCTCCACGATATGGGAACACCCGCTGAAAGCAGCCCAATGCAAAGCTTCGTTATATTCAACGTCTCTCAATTTCGGATCGGCTCCTTTAGATATCAAAAAATCAGCGATCTCCGAGAAGCCGTTTTCGCACGCCCACACCAACGGAGTCCATCCGCCGTCGTCTTGACAGTTGACGTAATTTCTTTGGGAAGAGCCCGCTTCTATGAGAATTCGACAAGCGTCCAGGTTACCGCATTTCGCTGACACATGTAAAGCGGTCATACCGTCTGTTCCCTACGAAATTAAAGAGTATGATCCAAGAAACTATGAACCATTTGATTGATATGAGACATGTCAACAAAGAAACTAACCTTCAGAACTATATTGGCCCCGGCTCGTACCAAATATTGCACAACGTCCATTTTATGCGCCGTTATCGCCAACATCAAAGCGGTGTTCTGCTCCTTATCGATATCGTTGATCGGCAATCCCAAAGAAATCAACAAATGACAAATGTCCAACATCCCCTTGGACGCTGAATAATGCAGCAAGGATCCGTCATTGAAATCTGACAGTTTGACATGTATGTCCACTGAATTTGATGCTGAAAGAAGACATTTTAAGAGGAAATGTCCTACTGGGATCTGACAGTGTTACCGCGCCATCGTGTTTCGAAAATTTGAACTAAAAGGCAGTCTGTTTAGGTAAAAGTAATTTAGAAAACAAAGATGCATACAAAAATGATCTTCACAAACCGGTCTAAATGCGATGAAGCTCGGGATAAGTTGCGTTAGCAACTATAAGGTATTTTCAAATATAAAAAAAATGGCTAAAATTTATCAGGGTGAGTAAAAATCCGCTAGGTTCTCTAGTCTAGTATATTTACGGATTGTTACTCGTAATCCTAATCAATATTAGTCATGTTTTCTTTTGTTTTTAAATGGGAGTTAGTTATATCTTATGTGCGTTAGCGTTAAAGCGTAAATATCTTGTCTAAGTAGCGCGATTTAGTGTAAAACACAGACTGTTCAGTTTCTATACAATAAAATTGACTTTGATAATTGCCCTACAATTTTTTGGCTTCAATTAACGCCATTTTAGATGGTCGCGCACCTGTGTCAGATCCGAACAGAAAACAGTTATTGTTCTTACTTATAGCAGACGTCAATTTTTCGGCGTCCTCTTCGCTGATCGCGTCCAAAATGTCGCTTTCGCTGTAGGTCGTGTCCGATCCGTTGGTAAGAGCATTGTCGACATTTCGAAAAGAATCGGAAGGTATCAAGAGAGGCGTCGAACAGCGGATTCGATCGCAAGCTTTCGAAAATGCCATTTTAGCGAGTCCGCTAAAATTCCAAAAGCTCAAATTAGAAGAAGAAAACTGAAACGGAGACCGGCTACGGTCAGAAACGACTTAGGATAGAAAGAACAAATTGATAAATGAATATAAGGTTTTATGATATTATCTGGTTTCATATTTAAAATGACATATCAAATAATTATGAACTCAAATCGTTATGTAATACACTTGTCTCCTATTGGTTTGTTTCAACACATATTAGGTTTATTCAGTTAGCGGTCAAAAACCGCGTGTGTCATGACATTCGCCTAATTTTTTCTTCGGGTACATTTTTGATCCGGCAACGTTGTAAAACACCTCAATAGACCAGAGAGTTGCGCACGCATAGTCGTAGTAAGGGTTATTAGTATAGGTCGAAGGTATCGATACCAGTATCCTGTGAAATACTTTGTGGTAGGGGCATCGATACTGTTCGATATTATGTTAGATATCGATATTTATAAGTAGCAAGTAACAAAGTATCGAATGAGTAAAACAATTTTGAATCAGTAAACTATTATATTTTGTAGTTGGCAATTGATAATGGCACCCTTTCTAGGTGAGCCTGGCCATATTTTTAAAAGTAGAGAGAGGAAAAATCTCCTCTTTTTTTGACAAATTCTATTTGCAATTCATTGACGAGCAAAAAAAGAAATCTTTCATGGAGTGCGTTGTTTAAAGCGGCTTAAATGAAATGTACATATGTATGTATTTTTTTCGGGCAAAAGCAGGACTAGTGCTTTAAAATCGGTACTGTCCCGCCTATGCGATATGATACTCGCTTCTAAGTATCGATACGGCAATAGTATTGGTGATTCAGAATCGATGCCAAAATATCGATAATTTCTTCGTTTAATATCGATAGTATCAAGGTATCGATAAGATTCCTAGCCGTAATAACATAGATAGCATTACTTCAACAATAGTATTGGGAAAGTAAACTTTAGAAGTAGGAGATAAGCAAGCCATAATTTATCAAGATATTGACAATCGAAATTTAAAATTAATACAAATTCTAAAAAAAAAAAAATAAACCAAACCTTCGAAGAGATGAAGTATAAATTTTTTTTAACCTTACTTTAATCATTTTATTTAAATATAAAAATGAAATATACTTATTTGCGTTTTAAGTATATGTAAAAAATAAGTAAATGCTACAATTTTTTTTTAAAATTAGTTAGTAATGGTATTGCTGGTAATTTTTTAGAAATACAAAATCTTGTTTTGCTTTATTAGGTTCTATTTGTATCTCATTTTATTTCTTTCCACGAAATCAATTTTCCCAGATTGTTTTAATAGGAATTTAGCATAAAGATGCATATGGTGGGCCAGTGACAAGTAATAATTTATAGTTCCGCCCTCTATTCGCGACGTTACTGTACTTAGCAGTAGCTCTCTTTCTATGTTTTACTTTTTCACATAAAAGTTGGGCAAGTGACCCGTAATCTCAGAAACAGTCACTGGCCATCAGGATTCTGGACAATAGATTATTAGTGCAAAATCTTGATGATCAATGACTATTTCTGATTGTTGTTGGAACATGCGTTGTATACAATAAATGTTTCAACTATGAAAAAAGTTCCTTTCCTTAAATGTAAACGATTCTGCAACTTAAATTTTGTAGTTTCAGCTAAAACTGAGAATACTCACTTGCAACGACAATGCTTCCGTTCACAAATGACCAGTTGATTGAGAACAATTATTAAAGAAGTAGGAGTGGAAGTTAAGATTCACTTCCTTACTCCCAAAGCTTGATACATATGACTTCCATTTTTTCCTGTCAATAATGGCTTTCAGAAGTTTATGAAAAAAGTATGGGACAAGTGTATTGCACAGAGCAGGGAGTTTTTTCTGATATTCTGATACATTTTTTGTATGTCATTTTAAAAATAAAACATTCAGGTATAAGTTTGCTTGTGAAGAGAATTCATAGCACCTTAATATTGACATGAAAGTTTGACAACAGTGTATTAGAATATTTCTATCTAGTTATCAACCAGATGACTTGAAGGACTAAATATAACCAACTAAGTGTAGGAAATATATGATTTTAAGGCAAAATAGAGGAGAAAAGAGTGAAATTGTATTTCTTAAATAGCTTGAAGGCCTAAGTCTTACCAAATAAGTGTAGAAAAAGAGTGAAATTGTAATTCTTATATCGTTTTATATTGTACGAAAATGTAATTGCCTACTTAAGATTGTAAATGTGTTCTACCCTGAAATGTTTAGGTAAAACTTGCATTCTGAACAAAAATAACAAATACATAATACATAATTTAAACTTTAGAAACGTAACCCTAAACAGAATTTTCATAGTTAGTATTAAAAATGGTTGAAATAGAAATAAAATAAAACAAAAAAATATAACAATTATTTTAGATAGATTTTTTCTTACCGTTCTGATTTTTGGACGGGAAGAAATACGGGACCGTTTGAACACTGGAATTTAAGTGAGATATCTCTGGAAGGGGTAGATAGACCGCAATGGGGACAACACTCTGTATTACCCACGGACAAACGACATTTTTGGTGATACTGATGCTTGGCATCGCATTCATAAAATTTGCCCTAGAAAATATACTTCAATTAGCATACAACCCAAATTAAAATTTCAATAATGATTATGATATGGCTGTTAATTCTCTTTTGTTTGATATGAAATACATTTTTTTAATATGAATTTAGGACTAAAAGGAAGTAGGTAAATTCATTTTTAATAATTTTTCATTATTGAGCATAAAACCACTACCTAATTAATGTTCTAATTAAAAAATGTGAACAGCATATACATACAACTAACCTGAGTACAAAATATGCCACAGGTAGGACAACAATTGTGCCGTATTAGTCTATTTTTGTGCAATTCACAGAGGCTCATGTAAGGGATCCTTTGAGATGGTCGTAATAATGGAGAAATATCTGTATTAACCTCTCTAGAACATCCAACTAGTCTATCATCTATACTATCTACAGCTGAACAATAAACAACACCTAAAAAAGTATATAGAGAGTAAAAATGACACACTAAACAATTGTATAATGTAACATGCTTACCTTCAATATTATTTAACGGATAAAATTTAGATTTCTGGGTACATAAACATAGTCTGACAGCTAGTTCAGGATTTTCAATTATAGAATTTTCCAAATAATTAGGAATGTCTTCAGCATCATCAGCTATTTGTGGTTTTGGACTAAATAATAACTGACTAAAATAAGTACAAATGTGTATAAATGCATTATTTACATATTTAACACACATATGAAAAAGTATAGGCATCTGACTAAAATAAGTATTGAATAAGCATGTTTTACTGTAATCAATTTTAATAAAACTAATAATTCAAACTTTAAAAGTGCAAAAAGACATATTTATTATAGTTTTTCCTATAAAATTATGGAAGTATAGACAGACCAATTTTTTTTTAATTTTTCAGATTTGAAACTGCCAGCAGAAATCGATTTATCAGAATAAAAAAAAATCTGACCTAGGCAACATTTTTCTGACCTATAACTAAGAAATATATTATTTTTTACTTTTAAGTCACATGTTCTTTTTTACAAATATAATTAACTTTCCATAGTTAGAAGTTAGTCAAGCTGTTTTTTTTTAATGACTCAACCTGTATTTTATTCTTTTGACCAGTAGACTGATGGCCTAATCTGACCCTGCCTGGATACAAGGAAGCAAAGAGACAGTATGCAGATATTGAAACATGAAATATGTTATTTCCAAAATAGAATATACTTAATTGCTTTCAGGATAATTAGTTAATATAATATAACAAGACAAAAAACATATATGTAAAATAATCAACAGAATAATGCGTAATAAAAAATGTAAGGATTTAAAAAGCAATGGAAAGATGAAGAAGAGTAAATTAAATATAACATGAAAGAGTTGACAACCTAAGGAGGCATAACCTCGGGCATAACTACTCATTTCTGGCAATGAATAAGGAAATAAAATTTTTTACTCTATACTTTTCAATGTTATAAAATTGGTAAATATGTGCCAATGTTACAAAAAATCGATGTTTGATAAGCAAATAAAGCATAATACATTTTAAAAAATTGATTATATTATATTTCACTTAAAAAGCATAAAGTACTAACCTTGCTGAAATTCTGCGAGATTTTCTGACATTTTTGCCTGCTTCTATTTCCACCTCATCCTCAAAACTACTATTCGATTCAGATTTATCACTATCACTAGTTTTCAGTCTTTTGACGTGTCTTTGGTTTTTTGACGGACTGTTTTTACCTTTTTTAGGACCTTCACGTAGCATTTCCACATTACTTTCACTCTTAGAACACTTCTCTGGAGTCTTCATTTTAACTTTTTTCACTTCTTTGGCTTGTGCTA